ATATATACTTTGTGGGGTCTGCCACGCCTCCTTCTGCCTGCTACATACTTTTAACAAAACCATTATACCCTGATTTCCCATTTTCAATGGGTTCAGGGTTTAAAAATTCATATAAGTCTACAGCAAAATCATATTTTTATGAGCACCAACGATTTCATACCCTTCTTAAAAATAATCATAAAAACGCTAACATTGTGTATGAACGTGGCGAATGCTTTACAAATACCGGTATACCCTTCACTCAAAAGAAACGCGCTGAGATCGTCGCGAACAATTTTAAATTTTTGTGCGCTGCTGCTTTTCATGAGACCATAGAGAAAGAGCATAAAGAGAGGGAGAACGTGAGTAAGGGAAAAAGAGCGCATAGCCGTCCTACATTTGGTAATGCGTGCATTTCGTGGCAGCAGTCGCGGCGCACTGATTTTGTCGTGCCTTATTTTCACTACTTGAGCCTCAAACGACCGACAGACATAATACGAAGTTGTCCGATCGCTTCAGCGCATTTTTTCGGTGTTGAAAAAGTTTTTTCTCCATGTCTACTCTATGTGTTCTCTGGTTAGTGGTTATATAATAGGGAAACTTTATAAAAATTTGTAAAAATACTTTCTACTTCAGTTAAGATGTTTCTTATTGGAAAATAAAAAAAAATTTTTTTAATGAACACAACAAAAATTGCATTTATGCCAAAATATCGGGGTTTTACCTATAGCGTCGTGTCCAAATTTTAAATATATATTAAGATGCATTTTATACAATTTCGGGTTTTGTTAAAATTTACCCCCACTCCTATATTCACCCCCTCACCCTCACCTTCGTAAGCGACGTATTTCAAATGCTAGAGACTTGTGCTTTGGCAAATGCATGCGTATTCACGTTATAATCATAATCTGAAAGTTTTATGAAGATCGTCTGTCGACAAAAAAATTTTTTAAAAAACAAAGTTTCCGTAGTAAGCCCACACTGCAGCCAATGCCTGTTTATGCGTGAGTATGCCTGTGTGGTTGTGCGCGTGTGTGTGCATGTGCAAATAATTATTAAAATATTAGTCGCTCATAGGGTTCAGGGGATCTCGTAGTCGAGCAGACCTGACTAGAGCTTTCTTACTTGCTTAAAATTACATATGGACATTTCTTCAGAAAGGTCAACCACAGCCAAAACATTCAAAGTCAATGAAAGCATGTTCCGCTAACATATTTTTTTTATCACCAATCCATCAAATTTAATAAATATAAACCAATTATACATTTTATCAGAATACATCTCGAAATATTGTGACACAAAGCTGAAAAAGTGCAAAAGTTCTGTTTTGAGCATTTCTATTACACATTTTGTTCTTATTATTGAGATACTATGCAATGAAATATGATACTTCGAATTTCCTCTATTTTATTATAATTTATAAATTGAATATATTGAAAATCATTTCTGTTTTTATTCCTGTACAATTACTAAAAAATTAAAAAAAAGCTATGGTGGAAAAAATGTCTCATTTGACACGTCACCTTCGACCCTGATTAAAACTAAAAAATAAAAAAAAATAAATATTTTTGAATCAAATAAAAAACATTGTAAAGATGTGTCAATTTCTATTAATTTAAAAAGCGACATACGTTTTTTGTAGCCTGCGAACCTCTTAGTTTTTTGTGATTATCTTGAAAACTAACATTTGCCTAAAATCAGATTTAGCACTAATTATAGAGCTAATCAAGAGCTAAAAGATTCACTATTCGTCAGTATGAAAAAATGTTTTTGCATTCGTTTTTTTTTTAACTCAAATACGTAGGAATGTCACATTTGCCACTAGAGAATTGACCATTGTATTTTAAAAACGCACCAATTATAGTGCTAAAAGCTCTTTAATTTTACAAATAGTTAAATCTTTTGATTAGTAAAATAATAAGTAAGAACGTTGTAGTCGGGCGTTACTGACTGCGGAATACTCATTCACATCCCATCGCCAATTTAGTAGCTAAGTTTAGCTCTGATATTGTAGAAAAACGCTCTACTGGGTATTTTTCGATATGCCACGCCCGATAGATTTTGATTCATCGATAGAGGAGGTTACTAATAACTAATATAACTTACTAATAACTTAACTATAGTTTCTGAGATATGATCTTTTGCGGTTTGCGACGCCCCTTGTGGGCGGACATATATTCGTGGGAGCTCTTTAGTCTTTGGTGGTCAGGTCTCTAGCATCAATATTGCTCGAAAAATATAGCAGAATTTTAAAAATCACTATATCTTCAGGTCCGACTTGCCACGCCCCTAGTGGGCGTACACATTAATCTTTATAGAATCATAATATTAGCTCACTTACAAAATTTTAACGTTCTAGCTTTAAAACCCTAGGAGATACAGTTTTATCCGATTCGCCACGCCCCCAATGGGCGTAGATATATCCACCATAGCTCATGATCTTGGGTGGTCCACGCGGATCTACATTCCAAATTTCAGCTTTCTAGCTCTCCAACTAATATGCTTTCTGACATATTGGAAAATGCATTTTCCACGCCCTAGAGGGCGATTATAAATCGGAGAGTATGTGTTCCACACTTCAAGCCTCTATCTTCAATAGCGCCGAGTAAACTGCGTTCATACGGACAGATGTACAGACGGACGGACGGACAGCAAGACGGACATTGCACAAAACCAATAAACTCATTTCACTTTCGTAAATGAGTATAAAAAGCAAGGTGTTCGCTCACTAAAAAGTTGGAAAATGCTCATATATTCTGTTTAATAATCATATGAACCCTTTAGAGTGGAAAAATTGCACAAGAGCTTGATTATGTAAATCATCATGTGCGAACAAAACTGGATGAAATAAAACGTCGTGAGTTGGAGCGTTTGCGTGAACTGGCCAACAGAGAATTCGAGCTTAGTAATGACATTGATCGCAACCATTTAAAAGTACCACAACATTTGGATCACGGCAATGAACATACTTTCGAAATCGAAGATTTGCGTAAACTTATTCAGAAAACCTCTGACGATTTGGCTGAGGCCGATCGTAAACGACGTGGTGAGTTCAAGGAGTACGAAATGCAAAAGGAATTCGAGCGGGAAGCGCAAAAAAAAGTAATGAATGAAGAGTCTCGAAAAAAATTCGATGCTGAGATGAAAGAAAAGGAAGAAAAGCATAAGCAGCACGAAAAAGTCCATCATCCAGGTAACAAAGCGCAATTAGAGGAAGTCTGGGAAAAGCAGGATCACATGGATAAGGACGATTTCAATCCAAAAACCTTCTTTTCCATTCACGACATTGACAGCAATGGATTTTGGGACGAAGCTGAAGTAAAGGCACTCTTCGTTAAGGAACTGGACAAAGTGTACCAAAGCAATTTACCCGAAGATGACATGCGTGAGCGCGCCGAAGAAATGGAACGCATGCGAGAGCATTACTTTCAGGTATGTTTCTACATTCAGTTTTAAACAAGTAAGAAAGCTCTAGTCGAGATTACTCGACTACGAGATGCCCTGAACCCTTCGAGCAATAGCTATTTCAATCATTTTTCGCGTCTTTCTGCTTAGACAAGAAACACGCACGCATAAAGACGCACACACATTCACATAAAAAGCAAAATTCTATATCCGCATGGTATATACGGATATTTTACAACAAAATTTAGGTCTCTAGCTCTTGTATCTTCTGAAATACTGACAGACGGACAGACGGACGCACGGACAGACAGACGGACAGCTCGTCGCCCTGATCAAGAATATATACACTTTGTGGGGTCTGCCACGCCTCCTTCTGCCTGTTACATAAATTTCAACAAAACCATTATACCCTGATTTCCCATTGAAAATGGGTTCAGGGTA